TGATTATTTTGCTGTTGCAAAAGTATCAGAGAAAGAACCATTGATGGTTATTTGTAAAAAGAACGGTGTTGAGAATATCGGAGTGCCACAAACAAAGACACAAAGATGATCGCAAACCATAACATCGAAGTTAAATTAGTAAAACCTCTTGTCAGACACAATTTAAGGCATATGAGATATCAAGCGCAACAGCCTGAGATTTTCTGTGTTTCTTGATTGCATTTTTCCAAGGCTGGTCACATATGTAAGAAAGTCGCCGGTTGATCTCTGTTTTCAGAAAGTATATAGAATTCACAATAATAATAATTTCAAATTTTCACAATATAGACTTTATTTCCGAAACGAGTTTCACTGCATAGTAGCATCCTCAGTTGGACTGTTGGACCAGTTCATCTGGTCAAACTTTTTCTTTACTTCCAATATTTTCAATTCAGTGCCCATTTTGAAAACAATTCCGAAAGAGGATACCTGATTATTTGCTTGAAACACTTGAAATATATGTTTTACTTTCTAACGATACATATATGAGATTTGAAATTCATTTTGGTTGAGTTCGTTATATCGCGATTTCAACGGCGACTTATTGACTCTAATTCTCTGAATCAATTGAATGACCCTGCTCTTATTTGCGTCATTGAAAACGAATAACAATTTTTCATTTTACCAACTACTCATACTTAGGTATGAACGGTGGCTTTCCAACTATGCGTACTTACGTCGTCAGTTTTTTCATCCTGTTTATCTGTGTCATTCAAAAGGAAAGTGTGGTTTATGAAAAACCACTTGGTCTGGTTATGAACTTTTTCAAGTGAAAATAATTAATATATTATTAAGATTTTATTCGCAAATGTGGTAAGTCACAACATAGTCACAATGTGAATAATCAGATTGCCATTTCTTATCTGAAGTCTGCCTACTTGTTGATGTGCTGTTCTACTTTGATAATGGAGATATACGCTTCCGAAGGTCGAAAATATCGAAAATCAAAATATATTCCGAGACCATATTTGGCAAACAGAAAACATAAAATGTGTTCACATGTTGAAAAAATTGTTCTATAATAACTTTTCAATTTTTAGCCAGATCTTGATAATTTTTAATAAGGAAGGAGTAACTTTTTCCCAGATTGATTCTCATCAAACACATTTCCTGTCATTTAGGTTTACGGCAGCTCTTAGGTAAAATACAACTCTTGGATGAAACTCAAAACCATCCTGTATAAAACTTCGGTTCATTCCCTATACATTGTTTCTTCATTTATTTTGATATCACGATTCGTTTCAATATATGATGACAATATATATACATGTCGAAAATTCATAAGCATTGCATTTTCTCTCCGCGTTCTTTATTCTTTATAATAATTATGGAAACATTACAAATTTAACGATAAGCAGCAAGAAGTTGATAAAGAAAACAATAAAACAATTTTTTACTATCGGGTGTTGCCTCTTCTAGCTTGGACGATAACTTCCATTCTCCGAAGCATTCCACGAACTAGCGTTCGAATATACACCCGGAACATGTTATCCCACCCCTCTATGAGCGCAACACTAAGTTGTTTTTTGTTCGTAAATGGACTTTCGCAACTTTTTGCACATCTACTTAGATAGTTCCAATCCTCAATAGGATTTACATCCGGTGAGCATGTTTGATCATGACATATGACGAATATTTAAAGAAAATGCAATATTGTATTCAATGATTCATAGATTTGAAACGATTTGTGGCATCAAAATGAATGAAGAAAAAATGTATAGGTAATGAACCACGCTTGTATAGCAGATAGTTTTGAGTGTTATTCAAAAAATTCATTCCATCACAGATGATAGAAACACAACTTTGTTTTCACCCTGTTTGATGTGAATCAAAATATCAGAATCGAGTTGAATATAAAAACAGTTATTTCAGATTAAATTTTGTTGAATTTCATGGTCCATGTTTGTGTTCAATAAAAATATAACTGATGAAACACTAGTGAGAGATTATGAATGAAAAAACACATTTTGGTTTTGAAATAAAGAGTCAATGGCATTTCCAAATGTCGAACAGTCATTTTTTCTCTCATTTCACATTCCCTTCACAAGTGACGAAGTCCCAGAGCTTAGAAATCCTAAATAGAAAACTACTAATTTCGCAACAAAGTTTGTTTTTGTGTATTGGCAGAATTGTCAAGAAAAATATTTTTTGTTATTTACCAAAATATACTTTATATATTGTCAATAGTACCTACTTACTTTGTATTATGTAACATTTTTTCATTCTGGAATTTGTTTTGGGTCAGTAGAAGTTTCTACTTCAAATTTGATGATTTCTAAAATCAAATGAGTTGGAAGAATAAGACTCCCCGTATACAATTTTTTAATTTATTACAACGATTTTTTTTTCCCAACACCAAATCGTTATTTTCAACACCTCGACACGTGTTTCGATCACCAAGTGATCATCTTCAAAGAGGAAGATTAAAACTGAACTCTCTGAAGATGATCACTTGGTGATCGAAACACGTGTCGAGGTGTTAAAAATAACGATTTGGTGTTGGAAAAAAAAACTCCAGTAATATTCATTACTACACCAAAGATTCCAAACAGTGCATCATAAAAACATATTTTGCGTACTTAGTAGCGAGATAAGTCACAATATCATATACCTAGAGTTGGGTCGACTGAAAATTACGCTTTTTTTTTCAATAAAATTTGCGATTAAACTCAAACGTTTATATAGCATATTTTTCATCTACAAGTAAAAAAGGAAGTCAAAAAAATTAACGTATGCGTTTGCTTAATCAGAGAGAGCTCTTTTAGAATGAGAGCTGCTCTCAGTACCTACACCAAAAAGAGATGGGTTACAAAAACGTAGGTCGTCGACAATTTCTTATATTTTGAGAGTATATGTACACGACAGTAAAAACCATAATAACCCCATTATTTAAAAAAGGCGATGAGACAGACATTATGAACTACCGACACATATCACTCACTACACACCTGAACAAAGTATTCGAAAAAATCATAAAAAAGGGTAATATCACATGTCTCAAAATATAATATTATAGGTATCTGACCGTCAATTTGGGTTTCGTGAACAATTATCTAGCCAAAACGCAATCTTAGCTCTTACTTCAGAAATATTATCTGCTCTTAATGAGAATAAACCCCTATGCGTTTTCAATGACTTGTTGAAAGCATTCGACACAATTGACCACAACCTTTCACTGAAAACACTTGAGATATTGGTATAAGAGGTATTGCTCTGAACTTGTTCAAGAGCTTTCTCGCCAATAGACTTTAGTGTGTAAACATTAATGACATTTCGAATGATACACAAGAAACTGTTATAGGAGTCTCCCAAAGCACAGTTCTGAGGCCAATTTCATTCAACATGTATGTTAATGGCAGAGGTAAAATATTGGGCTTCGCAGATGATACAGCCATTTTTTACAAGGCAAATAGCTGGTAGCAACTGGAACATGTAGTTAAATCGGATCTGGTTTTGATTAAAAATTGGCTCGAACATCGATTACTGACAGTAAATCTGGAGAAAACTCACTGTATACCTTTCAGTTGCAATAATTCCAGCAAACCTTGTTTTTCACAGCTGAAAATTGATCATTATGTAATACCTACTTCCCGAAGCTAAAGTGAAATACTTGAGAGTAATAATAGTATGTTTGTGATAAGTTCCGTTGTATACTTTTTAAATTTAAATTTTTGGTAAAAATATTAACGAACTCTAACTTCAAAATTTTGTACCATGCATTTGTAGCGAGTCACCTGAGCTACGGAATTGCTTGTTGGGGAGGAACCTACCATACGCACCTTTGCCCTCTTTGCTCCAAAACAGGTTCCTGAAATCAATATTACACAAACCACCTTATTATTCAACTGAAACTATGTTCAACGAAGCAAAATTTTCAACATTCGCCAGCTCTTTTAGTATAATATATAGATATAGAAATTTCGCTCTACCGACTCAATTGCACAACACCCGCAGAAAAAATGATCATGTTATTCCTCTGACACAAAAATCAATTTTCCAACACTCTTATACTTAACTGGCTCGGAAATTATTTAATACTATTCCTGAGGAGGCAGATTTCAAATATATATCATGGAACCAAACACAATGTTGTAAGTTGAGCATATGAAGTAATTTTGTCTGAAACAAATTTGCACTATAATAATATCGATACCGTCAATTCATATATGCTCGTCCAATAATTTCAGTTCAAAAAAAAATCAAACGAAATATAATTCAACAATTGAATACATATGATATAGAGCGCTAAACTATTCTGAAAAATTCCTTTTTTGTATCAATATTGTCCATATCGCTTATACGACACAGTTTAACCAACATTTATGACCAAAAAATATATACCCTGACATTTTATGTAACATTTGTTTTTGTGTTGGATAAAATATCTAAAAATTAAACTTTTCTTATCCCTTGATTTGGCCGCTTTGTTTTCCAGAAAAAATAAAAATGAAAAGCGGATAACGCTATACATTGAAATGTTTTGCCATTTGCCAAGTTGTAGTTATTGCTGTGACGAAAACTCAGCAATACTATTTCATTTTGAATAATTTGAATATACTCGTGGTTGAGTTCATTTTTGATCTTATATATCAAAGGGCTGTCTACAAGAACCGTCAACCAAACAAACAAAAACCCTTAAAAATGCTTTTATAACGACTGAGCAGTGCGGTCAGTTTCAGAAAATTATTCATCTAATTATTTTTTTTATCAACCCCCTCCTGGCATCAAACCGGAATTTATTTTTCCACAGAAATTTCGAAATAAATCGAGTCACTATATTTTATATTGATATTTCAGGTTTGATTATGAAGGCTAGAATTATATTGAATATTTTTTCATTGAATGTATCTAAAAGGAATTATATTGGTTGGCAGAGAAATATTCGAGGAAAGCAAATGATCCGGCCGGTACAGTTCGAAGTCATCTAACTATTCAGGAGAAAAACACAAAATCTTCCAAAACGGTATTTAATAATTTCATGCTCAGTTCACGACAGATAAAATTTTTCATATGTTTTCACATTTGAAAAAAAAATAGCCTATTAGAAAAAACATCCATCTCCACCTTTTCGTTCATTGAGAAATTTAGGATAAACACTTTCAATGAACATCCTGTATAAAATATGTTTACAATATTCACCTTTCGTTATCGGTTATCTGAAAATTGGAGTAAATAATACAGTACGTATTAATGTATCCAAAATAATGAGATCTTCAACATAACATTTTAAAATGCGATAACCTGCAAAAATAACGATTATGGTTCACTTTCAGCAATAAATTTCTCATGGAGAGATTTTAATTGGTCCCAGAAAACTAATGATAACACTGTATGTGGACCCAATCTGAAGTACATGGGACCAAATCCTTTATAAAAAGCTGATAGTCCTTCAGTTTCATAGATTTTCATAACACAGTTCATATAGCTTGTGTACATTAGGCCTTTTCCTCTTGCATCAGTAGCTGAAAAAATGTCAAATCATAAAGAAATGTCCAACTATGTTGAGGGAGATATAGGTACAATACATTTTTACATTTTATCTAATATATGAAAATGGATGTTTGTTGGTTGGTTGGTTGGTAAATGATGAACTTCTACATCGCTCAACCGATCGTGATGTAACTTGACATGTATAAGTGATATTTCATAGAGAAGGTTTTTAGGCTATTAATTTTTCTGTAACTCGTCACTAGATGACGTAGAACAATTTTTTGAAAGCACTGTTCTATAACGCTGCGTACGCCTAAGTTCGTTGATTCTGATTCTGTCAAAACATTGGAACAGCAGCGATACAGCAATATAGTACTAATTAGTACTACAACTACCAAATTCTACGCGAGCGAAGCCGCGGACAACAATTAGTAATATATAAAAATGCCTTTACATTAAAAAGAGGTATATTTTTCAAAATACCTCTTCGATTGAAAACAATATGGTTGAACTTCAACCACTGAAGTAAGGCTAGCAGAAAGCGGCATTTCTTTTGGCAACTAAGTGTTACACTTGGCTGCAGCATACTGATGATGTGTCAAAAGCCCGAAATACTTGTCTATGGTTTGTCCTTCTTAGTGTTATGTCCGATAAAATTATTTTAGTAGTTTTCTTGTAAACACAAGATCTATTAACGGAAACTACAAATGTGCAGCTGGCTTCTGCCGATGTGTTGCCCATTAAGAAAAAACTTACGTAACCTTTAGAATAGAATATATTTGTGGGACGTAATATGCATTTTCTATACATCAAAGGCATTTTCTGCTGTTAAACATAATTTTTCATTCTTGCTAGTTTCTCCTGTGAGTAATTGGAACTGAAATGTTCAAAAAAGAAAAGTAGGTACTCTGGCTCATGATTTTTGAAAGTTGGAATAATTTTTGCAATCTTCTTTCCATACTGCGTAAATATGTGTTCTTCTCTTGAGTACGGTGTTTGCAAAAACTTGAAATTTATTCAAATTGAAATGTTATAACTTTGCTGTCGAGTTTTTTATCGACCTTTTTTGGGTATTTGGGAGTTTTGAACTGAATTTCACATTTTAATGGTTGAAAAGAGATAGTGTCAACGAATCACAAATGAGTAATTTGGTTTTCTGGCTCTAGACATGCCTATAAGGGTATAAAACTTTCATTTTCCCAAATGCTCTTTGAATCAATTCTGAAGTATGTTTTTTGATTTTGAGTTCATCATCGATAAAAACTCCTAGATTTTTTACCTGAGTTACAACCGGTGTCATCAATTTTTATGATCAGATCGCTAAGTTTCGACCTTGTGACTTTTCTTCCAAGTACAATCACAGAGCATTTGGAATTATTAACTTCCAGGGCATGTTTCTTCGATACATTAACGAATTTATTCAAATCCTCATTAATGATATTTTCGCTTTGCTGTACAGAGTCAGGAGTCAAAGAATAATACAACTGTGTATCATCGGCATACATATGATATATGAGTTTTTTCAAACAAGTTGTCAAATGGGAGGTGTAAATTATGTAGAGGATAGGTCCAAGGATTGAACCCTGTGGGACACCTGAAGAAGTATTCTCGAAATCTGACATGTTCTCTACTCTGACAATTTGTTGTCTATGTGAAAGACATGAATCGAAAAATTTCAAAGTGCTTTAAGAAAGTCCATTATAATGTGATATAGATCGAAGTAGGTAGTTGATGATTCAATGTATCAAAAGCTTTGCTGAAGTCGATCAATAGTAGGACAGTGATTTCGTCTTTATCCGATTCTGCGACGATATCATCTAATATTATTATTAATATTATTATTAACTATTAATATTATTATTATCCGTGTTAGGAATCACACGTTAAAAGGTAAGACCTCGTCAATCCTTAGCTCGTACAAGTTTCTACTTCTGAGGGTTGTCGTTCGTAGGGGTGCGACAGCTGGTTAACGGAAAAACAGATTTTTTTTTAAACAGATTACAGAATGCTGGGGACAAAGTCCTATGTAAGCCTAAAAACGAAGGATATCAACAAGTTAATACAACGCATGCAAAAAGAAAAGAAAAATAATTAATATATGCTTAGAGGCGATTAAGCAAATAAGCAAATGTTTATTTTGTTTTTGAAACTGTTCACTGAGTCGGAATTCATAACATTGTTGGGTGAGTTATTCCATGTTTCGAAAATGCGATTCACCAAAAAATATTGTCTCTGCCTCGTTGCGAATTTATCCTTTATTAATTTGAGTGTATGACCACGTAACCGCGAATCATTGTTGAAAACAAAAAGTTTTTTCTGATTAGCATAGTTATACTTAGCTATACGGAAAGATATGATGAGGTACCCATGGAGTCGACTTTGGTCAAAAGCTAGCAGTTGTGCCATCTTCAGTCTTTCGGGATAGGTTGGACGCACTTCACCAAGTCATACGTGTGGCTCGACGCTGCACATTTTCCAACAAGTCCCTATCGCACAAGTTGAGTAACTTTAAGTAACTTTGAAGTCGAAAACCGTTTTTAAAAACAATTTATTTTACTCAAAATTACAATACAAAGTTTCTAGAGAACTTCTCACATCGAGATCTGCCAATAGAATGAATAAAAAATTATGAAGATAATCGTTTCTGGATCCGGGGTGGGAATCTGCAAGCACTGCATTTCCTTGGATAGTCTGCAATATATCTTCGCATAACTTGCATGAAATTACTCGTGGCGCTATTTGTGTCAGGTATACTATTAATGGGCCAAGTGATATTGGGGTAGTTAAAGTCACCAGCAATGATGAGGTTGTTAAGCGTCGATTAATAAGTAATTGATCAATTGGACATTGGCTTCATGGGATACATCATTAGGTCTTTAGATGCATACAATATTCATGCTGACAGTTTTCTTGGTAAGGTTGACATGTAAGGCCTCCACGCCTTGGATCACGGCAATATCTTGTTGAACTGCAAAATCGGTTATGATCTCATTGCATTGGTTTGAGCCATGTTTCTGTTAGGAGTATTATGTTAGATTTGAGATCAACTATGTCACATATGAGTTCGTTAAATTCAGCAGATAATGAGTCTAAGTTAGTGTGAAGAATTTTCCAGCACAGATACGTCAGTTGTTGGTTCTTGTTAGAGATTATTTTGTGTCCGAAAGTTGATGGAGGTTATTTTGGGAATGCCATGTATATATTTAATGGTGAGATTTTGTTCTCCATTTGCTTTCCTCGTGTCAAGTTCCCCGCGCAAGTCCTTCAGTAGCTGAACTTGGGAGGCTGTTTGGTCACTTATGATGGACAGTTTCGAAGTAGAAACTTTCTCGATTAAACTTTTCTCATTTCTCAAAATAGTTCGAGCATCGTGTTCATTTGGCATTACCAACCTAATCATGCGGGGATACTTGTTTGTAGGGTTGGGTTTGCCTACTCGAAAAATGGTGATTGGGTTAGCTGGACAGTTTACAGTATTCAGTTACTATAGATTTATCGTGCTCTTTTTCAGCATTTATGTCTCCTATTGTTTCAGGGACCCCTCGAATGAACACTTTTTTAGCTCGATTCAGTCTGTCCAGTACCTCTTGGATAACAACATCACTGGCTTTTGATTCAATGTCACGATTTTCAACTTAACATCTTCAAGCTCTCTACGCATATCGCTTTTAAATGACTTTATCAGACCTTTGATGTCGAGGGCTATAGTTTGGTCGGAAACCAGATTGCAAAGTTGGAAGTACATTGTTGTTGTGAAGGTGGTTTCTCAATTGTTGAGCAATAGCCTTTTCCAAAATTTTAGAAAGAAGTGGAAGAAGACTTATAGGATGCAAGTCTTTGAATTCCTTAGGTTCTTTGATTTTGGGTATTGGTAACACGATAGACTGCTTCCACATACTTGGAAAAACTTTCTTCTCCAAGCAAAAGCTTATAATATGTAAAATAACGGGCACTATAGGTGGATGGCAGATATTCAAGAGAAAATAATCGAGATCATCTATTCCTTTTGATCTACTTTTTATTGGTGACATGAAGGTTAACAATTCATTTTCGGTGATCAATGTCAATTCAAGGAATGATGTGATAGAATCATTCATTCATTATTACTGTAAAATTGTTCCAGATTTGGGTCAAACTTATCACACCGTTGTTGCGAAGCAATAAAATAATCATTCTTGGGAGGGAAGATTCAATATAGGTTTTTTATAGTGAATATCAAGTTTTTTTAGTTTTAACCATAGATCTTTAGAGTTATGATTATTATTACAAGCGATGTATTCTAGATAAGCCTCCTTTTCTCGCTCAATAGAAGATTTAGTGAAGTTTCTAAGAGTTTTATAATATGTAATTCCAATTTTAAGCTTTACCGGTTTTTCTGAATTTATTTCTGGCTTTATCCCTTATTTTCATCATAGACTTCATATTGTCTGTAATCCATGGTATATAAGGTTTGGTAAAAATTCTTGTGACATATGGTACATGATTATTGAACAACCTTTTGCATTATTTCTTAGCTATTTTTTTGATAGATAAAATTGTGAATAACTAATTTTTTCCCTTAGAGCTCCCAAATTATTTCTCAGCGTAGATCCGCTGCAAGAAACTCTTGCTCAAATATGTCTTTTGAAAGAGTTCTATTACCAAAAGAATTTTGGATTATATTTTGACAAATTTTTAAATTTCATTGCTCATGTTTCACATATGTGATTTATCAACTGAATTGGTCTGCTGTAAAGCAAAGTTCTAAGATGAACCCTGAGGTCAGAGAGGTCCTAGGTGGCCATGTCTGATCCTCCATAAACTATCTAGCGATTATTATGAAGTGTGCTGAATTTGCATAAACCGCAGTGGATTTCTTACTGAAATGAGAATATTTTCTATCAGAGAAAATAATAATTAATAATCACCGCTATTTCCAGCCCATACGGTCAAGTTCATTCGTAACGGCAAATCGCAAGGGAATAAAAACCGAATCTGTTGGATGTGGTAGGGGTATAGTAAAAAGTCAAGTTGTTTCAAATTTTCATTGAATTTAATCTAGGATCGTTAACTGAATTCAAAACAACTATCTAAATTTTTGGTATTCTCATAGTAAGTTGTACTCCTTTCGAATAATTGTCTGATTGAAAACTTTTCACACAACATTTATCAATGTTTGAAAATGTTCATGCATAGGAAATATTTTTATTTGGAAAGGACTCTCATATAAACCTCCTTCTTCTAATGCATAACCATCAGCAAGAACACAAATGTAATGCATATCTACAAACTCCTGAATTTGCACAATTGACTTGGTTTTTCTTTTTAGTAATATTATTAATTTTATTGACTTGAATACGTAACAACTAGACTGGGTAGACAACTATCAAAACTGTATGTTCACAAATTTGAGATTTCAGGAACTCCGAGGCAAATACACCACCAGAACAATCAGAAGCAGAAACACCACCGCAATTGAGACACTGGCTAGCCTCAGGACGCCCCGCGGAGGCCCAAGGAGGATCCCCAAAAAAAAGCTCCCAATTCCCCCTGCCAGGCTCCCAGGAGCCCTGGAGGATATCCCGGAGCTGTTCCAGGACATCTCTGAAGAGTTTCCGCTGGCGATCAGGTAAAAAAGAACCCACTGCCAGAGGAGCAGACCAAGAATGAATATCACCAGATCCCGAACCAACCAACGAACCACCTGCAACTATACCCGGACAACTTTTTCAAGGATAACCCAACCCATACACAAAAACAGCAATGCCAATTAAGGAACGAGAGAAGACCTACTAATCGGACCAACACAGGTCAAAAGCACTGTAACTATACACAAACACCCAATAGCAAGGACTAGATTAAGCTACACAAAAAAACAATTATTATTATTATGTTTTTAATTACCACAGCCCTTTAAGAGACACCAGCCTACAGAAGCCACATAAAACACATGTAATACTAACTAACCAACATTAGGAGAAAATAAACGTATTCGATCGATCGATGTTCACAAAACAAAATCTGCTCCTTACCTAAAATTAGTTTTCAATCTCTAATTTTACCCATTTTCATAAAAATGTTCCAACGAGTGATTTTTTAAATTTTTTGATGAGAAAAAAACGAAAACATTTAGAGACAAGAAATGGATGTTTCAAAAATAATTTTTGATTCAAACAAAAGCAGTGGTGTATAATTTTTCACTCTGAAATGATTACGATTCTCGCAACGGACGGCACCAGCAAATACAAATATTATTATGTACAATAGAACATGCCTTTCAATGCACAGAATATGTCTATGTTTCATAAAAATATCTAGGGTTATACCAAAGTTGTAATAAAAAAAGAATTGTTTCCTAAACCCAACGTAACCTTCCCAAATAATAATATGTTATTAAAAAACACCCTGTATAGGTGATATACAAAAATCATTTCTTTCAAAATTTTTACTCACGTTGATTGTAATTTCTAACCATGATCAAATCAAATGGGGTCATAACAATACTAATTACTACACCACCAACCATGCTTCCCAAAAAACTAGTAGCGAGGGAATTCTCCTTGAAATAGTCGTATTTAAGTAGATGTTGTTTGGCGTATTCGAATGAACTCAGTTGTGTTACGGATCCTACGGTTGCTCGAGGTATCGAAAATGTTGCTCCTCTATAAAGGCCTCTTATCTAGAAAAGGCAATAAATGTTACGAATGATTCATATGTTCAATATCACAAAGTTAAACGTCAACTTTGAATTAATTATCGAAACAAAAACACATTTTCACCAATAAAAAACACGTCTGGCAAAAAACCTTTTTTCATGCCGGTATTATGAAAAACGTTCTCAACAATACATCCAGACGATGTGACGAAAAACAACCATTTTTGAATGTGCAGTTGAAAGAAACGTATAAGTAATTATTGGAAAAATATCGTATAGTGTGTGCTACGTCAAGCTTTCATTGAGAACCGAGAAAAAAGTGATCCCAAAAATTGATTATCCCTATATGAAAAAAACTGCACTTGATAAAATTATTAATAGGAATTGCAAATACAGTATTTTCGAAAATTTTTGTCAGAAAAAAATTATTCCGTATATTCTGTATATTTTTAAGAATAACTATTCATAGGCAATCAATCAAGTCGAAATATATGGAATGTTTCATGCATTGAAAAAACACAACTTTGATGAGTCACACATTTATTAAACACCTTGTATATTGATGGTTATTTTCAAAGCATAGCTTTCATTACTCACTACAACTTTTATTTGAAACTTTTTTCTATTTCGAACAGGAAAGCAGCTATCTTCCTTCCACCAATCGTCGATACACCCTGTATAGGTAATTACCTAGAGCTTGTAACGAAAATAGTTTCAAACACTATTCTCCAGCAGAAACATCGAAAACGAGTGAAATTAATTCGGGACAAACTATGAAAAACCTGATAGAGAAATAATTAAATCAATAGAGAATCTGCTGAAGTGTAATGAAGAACAAACTGAAAAATTCTTCCCCAAAAGTTACCGCGTAATGTAAACTGTAGATTAGTCAGTAAGAGCCGTTACACATGGGACTGATGGTCAGTCCTGTTCATCCGCGAGGGCCATTATATTAAATACGACATTTCACATGTACAGCGTACTGTCAGTTCGTAGTTTCGTCCGCCGGAGCCTACGTCGAGCCCGTGCGCACAGCGTATGGTACGCATCAGGACGAGCTATTGTTCATATGAGATTTAACACACGTATCCTGATGGTCAGTTGCGTACAAAATCGCAGTTGAATACACTGTTGTACTTATTTTTAAAAGCACGATGGCGAAAAACGAGTTACGGATAGACACAGAAATTCTTATCAGTCTTATTGAAGAAAAAACATGCATTTGGGACAGCTCAAATGAACATTACAAAGATCGTGACATGTAAAATAAGGCATTTGCGGCTGTGGCCGCTGTGGTAGTACCGAACTATGATAATATGACAGAAGCCAAACAACGGGAAGCGGGTAAGTAGATATAAAAAGTTGTTATTAATATTGTTTATTTCGTCTCGTATTTGTACAGTTTTTACTATACCTACCTATAAAAAACAATGTATTTAATTCAATTTAGCGATCAATAAGGTATAATATTCATAATGGTCACTAACTTAAATAGCAGTTAATAATAATAGTTAGTAATAAACTAATTAACAGTTAAATCATCCAGAAAATGCATCAACAAAAAATGTCTTTCAAAGAATACCTCATTGGTAAATAATCCACATCGTTAACTAGGTTTACCTGAGATCGATAGTACCAAAAATTTGAGCTCAGGTTAGTTAGTTTCCAATGAAATTACAACGTGGAATCAATAAACTAAACATGTTTCTTTTGAAAAAGAGTAAAGAATGGGAAAGAAGGGTTTTGGCTTTCTTCTCCTCCATCTTGATACAAATGAATGTGGGAATCTTACAAATGAAGAAAAGAAGTAATCAATTTCAAAAATTAACGTTTGTTCAAAAATTAACTCTATACAAAGATGTGTGGATCATGCAAAGAACTAACTTTCAGACACAAACTGGGGAAAAAAGCCCTCTCGAAACAGCTATTTTCATATAAACATTGAATTACACGAAAGAAAAATTCTTTCGAAAAAAATACTTTTATATGGACTTTCTCATTAGTCAGTACACTATGCTTGAAGACAAATGCTTGAACAAATCTAAAGAAATGAACTTTAAATGTTCAAGCCAGTCTCGAATACACCTACACAGTAGGTTGAATGGACTGACGCCTAACAGAAAACAACTACTCCAATGGCTAATACCACGAACGGTGCTGCATTATATCCGACAGGCGTCAGTGCAGGAATCTTCACAGAAAATTTCCTGCATATGCAATTGACGATACAACTGAAAGAGTCGATTTTCAATTTTGGAACGGGTCCACTTGCAGACCGGTTTCGGGCTCCTTAGCTACTCGTCAGTGCAAGATAGTGGCCATCATCGACCTAAAGTCAATGATACTCCATAATTGACTGATAGGCGTCAGTCCATTCAACCTACTGTGTACGTGTATCCGAGACTGGCCTGAACATTTAAAGTTAATTTCTTTAGATTTGTTTACTGCCTGTCTTCAAGCAATTTCACTCATATGGAATACTGGTATCCTCACTGCTAGACATTCGATGTTTCGCTGTGAGACACTCGGCTCTTCAGTAGCGCATACGGAATTATTTTTCAACATAATTTTGTCAATGATATTGTGTTCAAAATTTGTTTTGCGTGTTTCTCTTGAATCGCTAGGTGTAAAGGGTATCGACCTAAAAGTCCCACACGGGATATTTCCGTAACTAGAGAGCACATTTCAATTCTGCAAATACAAGTAATGATGGCTGTGACTTGCCACAAGGGTCAATAGACCTTTTCTTGCATCAGCATTAGTCCATGTTTTTCATACAATTTTTTGTAAACAAACGTTGTAAAAACAGTTCAAAGTTCGTTTTTCCGTTACCCCCCTCACGAACGATAACCCTCAGAAACGAGATGAGTTCTTACTTTTTATTTGCGATCCGTAGTACGAATGTATCACATTCCATTCGATTGAGTTAGAAAAAAGTGAAATACCTTCAATGTTACCTGTCAAATAATCAATAGTATGATAAAAACACACTTTAATAGCAACACAACCTAAAAAAATAATTCGAAACTAATTTAAGATTTTGTTCAACATCGCTATGGCTTGGTGTAACATAACTTTTAATAAGTCTGAAATCAAAATTAATCTATTCAGAAAAAAATTAATTTTGTTGTAAAAAAGCTTTAAATCAGGGGTCGGCAAGTAGTTTTAGGGGGGGGGTCCGGATACTATGGGAAAATTTGAACGGGGTCCAGAAAAATAATAAATATTAATAATAAAGTGCTACATATTATTTTGAAATATTAATAATAAAGTGCTACATATTATTTTGTTTTCAAATCACATTCTGAATTATAAAAGAAATACAAGACCTCTTATTAAAGTGAGAAACTACACCGACGGTCTTGAGCCAGTGTTTTATAGTTTGGTTCTCGAGAGGAACAGCAAATTCAAAGTGTGTGTTCTAGGTGAGCGTCTGTTAATCTCGAACGATATTTGTTTTTCAAAAATTTCATCTTTGAGAAAGGTGTTTCACATATGTATGTCGAGCCAAACATAGTGGCCAAATTGATAGCTGTGTTTTACAATTTTCATATTTTTCTGGCACATGTTTGGCCCAAAAGTCATCAGTGGATATCGTTCTATACATTTGCAAAGATACATCTTCTTGCTAATCAATTATCTCCATTTGAAGTGAAGGCTTTGACAGATTAAAGAACTTGGCAGCCACATCTGTCCATTTTGCCGCCGCATCAATTTCAAATGGAGATTTAAGAAACGAAGATTGCTTGCCTATCTCTTGGAATCTTGTAGGAAATTCGTTCTTAAGATCGGTCAGAAATTTTACAAACTCCGCAATGTCTTCTTCAGAGATCTTTTTAAATTCAAGAATTGTCGAAAAATTAATAAATTCTTGTTTAACGATAGCTTTTTCAAAAATATCCAGCTTACGACGAAAAGGAGGGTACTTGTTCTTTTATTAGCCAGAAACGTTCAATAACTTGTTCTTTACTTAGCCAACGAACATTGTTGTGTTGCAGTAAGTCAGAAAACGCAGAATCACATTCAGAAAGGAACTCTTTGAAATGCCGGTGTTGTTCTCCACAAAGTTTTCCACAAAAAGGCTGCCTGGTCAATTATGCACTGATACGATATTAGACCTAAATTTTTATCTCTGATTCTCTTCACTACACCTTCTTCTTTGCTTGCTGGGGCCCCGTCAGTTGAAAGCGAAACAATTATTTCATAACTGATGTTATATTTCGTAATAAAATCATCAATGGCCTTGAATTAGTCTTCACCTCGAGTGTTACCTTTCAACGGCAATATTGCTAGCAACTCTTCCATAAAAATCTGACAGTCAATGTCAAACATATTACGTAGCGTAGGAAGGTGTCTTTTGCAGAAGTTCAAGAAGAGTGTTTTTAATGTCCGCAGCTAAAACTTCAGTTCTTCATGTATTTAAAATTGTTTAGAAAAATGTTTTTCGTTGGAATTTTTTTGGTAATGGTAAAACTGCATTGTGTATAATAAAATTGGGATTCAATTGAAAATAGGGACGGTTGAATTAATCCACATTTTGACTTTATTTTTTGGATATCTCGTGGAATCGTTTGGTAAACCAACCGCTAGTATCTCATATTTTTCAACACTGCATTTCCGAATTTTCCGATTATTGAAATAGTTACGTCGTTACATTTCCAGTCCATAATTTTTTGTTGGCAGACCTGTTACCTATTCTTTGAACAAAGTTAAATGCGATATGGAGAACATATGTTATCAGAAAAAGTAATTATAAACAATGCAATCAGATGTTTGAACATCTACAGTCAAATAAGTGAAATGATACAAATTGATGATTAACGAGAGTTTGTTTTAAAATAGCAGACACGCATTTGTCTTACTGCTTGTATGTCATTACCCCTCAAAGTAGCTGTTGAAAATATTCCAATGGTATACAATTTTTTATAATCGTAATAACTGAAGGATTTTTTTATTTTTCCAGTACATCATGAACGAATTATCCAATCTGTAGTATTTTGTTCACAATGATTTTTTTCTGGTATAATCTGAATATTGGTCTCGGAAAATAGAAAATTTATCATTTCATCGTCTCCGTCGATCCTGCTAAGTTTCGAAATTGTACCAATTTTCCTCTGTTTCAAAGGATATTACGATATTTTGTATTGATGTTGATATTCGATTGTTTTGTTTTTCACTATAATATCATCACATATTTACCCCATGTGTTTCATAAATTTTTCGTAGACCCATCCAAAGCCCTTCGTGATGATGTTGGTATCCAACAGCTATGGAAGATGTTGCTTTAGATTGAAAATGGGTTTTCAGTAAGAAAAAAGGGCTTGCAAGAAACTGTCCAAGACCGCCACTCAAACCTCCAAATATTACAACTCTATGGAATTTTATATTTCCGTTGGTGTCTTTAATGTGTCCTCTCTTCTCTGCCATATGAACTGTACCTAAAAAAATGTTAAATCATTGTGTGTGAGCTTGCGCGCTTATTAGTTTTTCTCTGTGGAATTATATTGAAGAAATATATTTTTGTTATCTTGGTTCCTAAAAATATTAGTTTTCATTTAAGTATATAAAATAATGCATGAAACATTCGTTAAACTTGACAACCGACAGAAATAATGTAAATTCAAATCTGATACTTGATAACTTGAGTAGTAGTTGAGAATTGTAGAATTGATCTAGAACTGCGGACGGTTTGGAAAGTTCACCAAATGAGGAACTTCCTCTAAGATATTTCGTCGCGAATGACAATATCAACAAGGCGTCTGGCCCTGATGAAGTGCTCGTCATCGTAGTTAAAAAGTGTGCAAATGAACTCGGACCAGTATTTTGCAGACTTTTCAACCTGTCTTACAAGAAAGGGGAAGATTGGCTCGCGTTCAGTCTATTTCCAAAAAGGGCAAGAAAAATCTTCCAAATAACTATATACCAGTCGCTTTGCTATCAGTCACATCAAAAATCATGGAGTAAATCGTAAACCTCTATATCCTCAAATATTTGGAATAACGCAATCGAGAAACATTGAAACTGAAAGAACGTTCCCTGCAACTTGCCATCGATGAATATCTCTCGAATATTTTCACCATCAACGCTGGTGTTCCTCAGGGATCCATATTGTATTCAACCTTTTTTTTATTGTATATCAACGACTTATTGTAAAAAACCAAGAATCCAATATATTGCTTTGCTGATGACTGCACACTTGTCTCATCATTCCATTTGGATTCCAGGGCATCGGCTACGGAGGCAAATCTTCACCGGCAGCAGGAGGTTGCATATCTTAATGAAGATGTAGAAGTGATTTCGAATTGGGGTGAAAGTAACCAGGTTCAATTCAATGTCTCAAAAACCCAGGCATCGGTTTTCTCCAAGAAGATGAATGTCTCCGAACCGGATATAATAATGTCAGGTCAGACAATTCCGCTTTCTGCTTCGATAAGTTTCTTGGTTGTTAAAATGGACACCAATATGTCTTGGCACAATCATGTCGCTGAAATTGCAAAGGCTGCTTCTCAAAAGCTTGGAACACTGTTCCTATTCAGAAAACTGTACACACCTCAGCAACTTTTGATGATTTATAAAGCTCAGATCAGACCATCTTAGTAGTATTGTTCTCCTGTATGGAGGTCTGCTTCCAAACATATCCGGAGGTATACTCATACTCATCGTTTTGAGGTTCAACTCAGTACACCTCGCACTTCAGTGTTCAATAACTCCTTCATATGAAGAACTGCGTTTATGTGGAATAAACTTCCTGAGAACGATTTTCCAAATGGATTTAATCTCCAGCAATTCAAATCCAATGTTGCACAGGCACCGCTCTGAGAGCGCTTTAAGGATTTTCCTGTAGTTTTTGTGTAAAAAAACATTTATCGTTCTCCGTGTTTCTCCTGAAGCTTGTCTCCATTGAAAATGAAGACAAGCTTCAGGAGCTGAGCTCACCATACCAAGTTACTGAAAGATGCATAGAACCCTGGTGTTTGAACATATTCGCTTTTGTTTTGTCAAAAACTCTGACTCAACTTGGTACACATGCTGCGAAATCTGTCGCTCGATCTATGATTTATGGACCATAATGTAAAAAGCTTTCACTTGATATCAGTTCATTCCAAAATGTAACTAACATTAAAAACTGAAGTAGCAATATAATATTATCAAGTAGCGTCACTCTCAAGTGAACGCAGCACCTCTGTGAATGGATGGCTGAAACTTGTAGGATTTTTTTAAGCGTCGTAGGTCGAAAGTTTTTGACAAAATATTTCACACGGGAAAGAGGTCCAAGTGATCACACAAGTGATATTTTATGCTTCTTTGCTTAGTGGCTATATAAATATACTCATGTCTCTCCTTATGGCAGACAGCTCTCTTTCTTTTCACACGTAGAGGATTCCGCTAATCACAATATTATTTGGCTCCTGCACCACATTCAAATACTTTCTGGAATTTTATTCGTATCCCATGTTTTGGACAATTCTGAATTAATTTTGAGCTCAAGAATCAAACATAAAACGATGATAGGAACGAGTTATTCGTTTTATAATATAGCCTACCCCTAGATACTCTAGGTCGGGACTAAATAATATTTAAGGAACGAGTAACATGAAGATTGGGATGTTTTCTTATTCGTTTGAATTATTATTCTTTCTTTATTATATTCGCCATAGTCGATGGAAGCGAATTACCTATTATTCATTTGGATTGCCTTACTATTGAAAATTTCGCTGTCTCGACAGATTTATGGCGATTGACTATATCATATTTTTCTGTTTAGAAGTGGAATTCTAATACTGCCGTGTTGGCTCCTGTTTTTTCATTTCAAGTTTGGCCAACAATAAAAATACCCGATGGTATTATTGAGTGGGTGTCTTTCGCAGAGTCTGCGACATTTCTTCGAAGTAGAAATTTATTTTCTCAATAGCTAAGAAATGAAAGATAGAACTGGAATCGCCGGTGTGGATTAAATCTAAAACAAGCACTGTTCCGAAACACCAGAATTGTAACTCTTCTCGTCTTGGTTGAAACGCGCCTCGAGAAGAGTGTTGCAGTTGTAGTGTGGAAATAGTGCTTATTTTGGAGCTGATAAAAGGCTGTAAATTTCTGTAACAACGCCTGGGATATGTCAGTGAATATTATATCTTCCAACGTAGTGGCCTATCAGTGTCGCTTGTTTGCTATACTAATTTCTGATTACTTTACATTACAATGTGAGTTAATATTCCACATGGAGTGAATTGTGATGAAACTTACTCAAAAAACCGTTAGATGAATGCTTTTGTAAATCTGGATCTGGATTAAATTCACATGAATCATGCCTGTATGTGAAGATGAAAGGCGTCCATTTGATACTGATTCTAGTATACAGTGCACTCCATTTGTAACGATCCACCATGAATAACTTTTGGTACAATGCTCTGCTGGAAAAATAAAAAAACACATCAACTACAGTACACAGAGGGACACATTTTGACACATTCACATTTGATATTACTTCCCCTATCGCACCCCCAGAGCATGTCACCAATTTTTTTAATATGGATAACTCTAAATTGTTTCGCATTATCAGCTGCTTCAGATTTCAACAAAGTATAAAACATATGGTCTGAAGTTTATGTTTCGAGAGCTACAAATTATTTGAGTTGAAAAGAACCACCCTTAATGAACTTCTGTACAATCTGTCACCTAGGTTTCATAGGTGTTTTTGTGAAGTTTACTTCAAGAACGTCTTATTTTGCTTAGGTGAGTTTGAATTCGATATTCTCTTCATTTTGTATTTGTCTCATTTTACAATAACGATTACGTACCAGGTGAAGTTACAATTGGTGTTTTTGTATTTGTAAATTCTGGAGAAACAATGGTTTATACGCTTTGGAAACGGATTGAAATAGTGAGTTTGTACTACCAGAATGGAAAAAGTGCTAGAGTTGCTGCCCGTAAGTTCAAGGATAATCATCCAGGAAGAAATGTACGACACACATATGTTTCGGAATTATTGAACAAATTTATGGAAACTGGATCTGTTAACAATAAAAAGCATAACCGTTCAAGAACTGTCAACGATAAAGCTATTTGTACTGCAATTTTAGGGCACGCAATCTCTTACTAAGTGGTCTTGAAAATCAGGAGTCAGTCGAACAACTTTCATCCAAATTTCTTATATAAAATTTGTTTTTCGGATGAATGTACGTTTAGTTTGAATAGAGAGGTGACTCGGCAAAATTATCGATATTTTGGTGATACGAATCCTCATTTATACCGTCAAGGTCATACCCAACGACCTCAAAAACTGAATGTTTGGGCAGGTGTTTTAGGTGACCACATCATGGAATTTTTGGAGAATCGAATAATACCGTGCATCAGTAGGACAATTGGAGAGGATATAAATTTATTCAAAAAACAAATAGTTCATCAGCAGAATGGTGTGCCCCCACATTTTGCAGCTCCAGTGCGACAATTTCTGGATAATCATTTTCCTGGTCGCTGGATTGTCAAAAGAGGTCCTACAAAATGGCCACCAAGGTCTCCGGATGTCACTCTTGTAGATTTTTTTCTATGGTGTCAATTGAAGTCTGAAGTGTATGACATAGAATTAACAACATCAGAAGATTTGAGAAAGAATATCATGGGGCGTTGCAGAGGAATAACTCCCAAAATTCTCAATAATGTGGAAGGACGCATCCAGAAAATGCATCAACAAAAAATGTCTTTCAAAGAATACCTCATTGGTAAATAATCCACATCGTTAACTAGGTTTACATATTGTTTATTTCGTCTCGTATTTGTACAGTTTTTACTATACCTACCCTATAAAAAACAATGTATTTAATTTAATTTAGTGATCAATAAGGTATAATATTCATAATGGTCACTAACTTAAATAGCAGTTAATAATAATAGTTAGTAATAAACTAATTAACAGTTAAAGATGCAAAATAAGTTTGTAAATTTAATTATTATATTTTTGAGTCTTGCCAAGAAACTTTACCATGTGGGCTAATGAAATAATTAGCAAACTCGTCTCGTATGGAGAAACCCTGCCTATTTATTAGAGGTGCATCATTTTGATTATTATTGTATACGCCTTTCATTGACAAGGTGTGTTGAAATTTATATCCATCTCTTAAACATACATAATTATGCAGTACGCAGCATGATTTTATAATTTTTTTGCAAAGGCGCTGAGAAACATTAAGGGGTCTATGGAAAATACGCCATTTGTTGGTTAAACTACCAAAAGCACATTCAATAAATCGTCTTGCTCTTGTAAGCCTATAGTTGAAAATTTTCTTTTTGTTATTTAAATTTTTTCTCGCATACGCACGCATTAAATGCGGAGACAACGGAAACGCATCATCCCCTACAAGTACAAAAGGTAGTGGTTTATTATTTCCTGGTAGTGGTAGTTGTTCAACTCTTTTCCAAAATGTGCTGTTTACAAATATATTAGAGTCAGCAAATTTTCCATAAGCGCCGATATCAATGTACGTAAAGCAATAATTAGCGTCACAAATTGCTAAAAGCACGACTGAAAAATACTTTTTATAGTTGATGAAATTTGAGGTGTTGTTGATGGGTTTTATAACTCGTATATGTTTCCCATCAACAGCTCCAATACAGTTTGGGAAATTGGCATATGTATTGAAATTATATGCGATTTCAAGCCACTTTTCAGTTGTAGGTTCGGGTAAGCTTTCAGGTCCTATAAATTCCCAAATTTTGTAACACACCTGCTCCACTATGTTACTAATTGTAGAGATGCCTAGTCTGTAGGTATAGTGCAAATCGGTAAATGTGTTTCCACTTGCGAGATACCTACAACAAAGTGTTAATTTCACTATAAAAATAAAAATACTGTAGCACGTTTGAATGACCAAGTAAATAAATGTTTTTATTTTCAGTACAAGTCGTGCAAAAGAGATGGAGAACAGCCCGAGATGCATACAGAAGAGACCGCAATAAAGTGAAAAATACTAAGTCTGGACAGGCGGCAAAAAAATATAAAACATATATTTTCTATGACAATTTAAAATTTTTGGATCAAGTCATGGAGTTAAATTCTACTGAAACGAATTTTGACTGTACCAATACAGACGAGGAAGAGACACGTGATAGTTCTGGCGAATCAGAGACTGGAGCTACAGAACGTCCTACAAGAGCATCTGACGACGATGGTGACATGGCATTTTTTGAGTCTTTACTGCCAACGCTAAACAGTTTTGATATTAATAAAAAATTACAATTTCGTTCAGAAGTACTTCGTATAATAATGGAAATAAAAAATGTACCTAAATTTGATTTTGCAAACCCAAATGTGCCACAGTATACTAATAGGCACCTATCATATTATACAGATCAGCAGTTCTACAATATGCCACGTATGCAAGACAGACCTCCATATGACAACTTTGAACAGCATCAACAAATACATTTCCGTGAAAACTACTCGAGGGCTTCGTCTACAACATCTGTACCAACACCATCACCAGCATCGTCCAATGAAGACTATGTTCGACCATCTTTATTGCAACTAACACAGACTAACATAGACGAATACAACATGTAGTAAAGTTTACAATTACTTTTTTGTGTTAATATTATATGCTGTATAAATAAAAATTTAATTTTGAGTTTGTAACAATTTAAAAACTTTTACTTACCTCAAAGCCACGCAAAGCCTCTCCACAGAAGAAATTGAAATTCTTATCTGGTTAGAAAACGTCAAGGAATTTTCTAATTTATTGTGTAATTCATCAAACGTTCTGATTGACATTCGGAAATAATTAAAAAACTTGTGTTCGTCGTTTCTTAAATTTGAATAGATAGGTGCATAAATGCACCTTGGAGAAGTCTTTTTTCACAAATTGGATGCACCCACATTGTTCTGTTTTTCCTTTTTGTTCTTCGCTCTAATAATCGTTTAATGCACAAAGCGGCAACAGCGCGTCGTTCCGCGCGCTTCAGATACATATTTCAAACTGTTTCATACGCAACATGTGAAAAGCATCCGTTTTGCATTGCGTACCATCACGACTGATCATCAGGACTGACCATCAGTCCCATGTGTAACGGCTCTTACTTGTCTCTGGAACGAATATTTCAAAATGTGTCTTTTTTTTATAATTTTTGACATGTTTTTTTATTTTTTCTGCAGATCAAACTCAAATAATTTGTAGCTCCCAAACCATAAGCTTCAGACCATATGTTTTATACTGATAATGCCAAACAATATAGGGTGATCCATTAAAAAAAAATGGTGACATGCTCTGGGGGTGCGATAGGGAAAGTAACATCGAATGTGAGTATGTCAAAATGTGTTTCCCTGTATATTATTGTTTCAAACGGAATGCACTGTATATTGATGATATACTGATATCTGAAAATTCTCTTCGAATTGAAGAGGGCACTGTTGATTTATCAAAGTCACAATTTGACTCGAAAAAGTTCGGTTTCCTTATAAAGTTTCTTGGATTGTCACTCAGTTGTTCGACTCAGTTTGTGATAAATATGTTTGAAGAATCTCGCATGTCCATTTGTGTTGACGTGAATACTGCTAGCTTATTGGAACCAAGATTCATATTCATAACAAACATTCTATCAGACAAGTATAATCATGGAGATTTCTGTCTCTTGTCGGCTCACAATCAATTACAAGAGAACCATTCAAATTATTCATTTTGTGTTCACGAAATTGTTTAACACAAGTCGGACAGTCCGTTGACGATTCAAGATATAACTACCATTTCGTCAACATAAATTTATCATCTCTATCATTCTTCTTAGTCATGTAATCTTAAATATCGTGACTATTCAGAAGGTAGGACTTGAATTTCAAACTTTGATCAATAAAACAATTATTTATCAAAAATAATTTTAATTTTCATATGAAATATACACTGATATATGTTAAAATATAGTTGGCTTTCTACCAATCAGTCTAATAAAAGCAAAATTCAGATGAAAATATAACCACAAGAATGAAAGATTGAAATAAATGAATGAGGTGAACCTTACATCGTATTGAGAGGATAATGAATGAAAACTATGAACAGTCTTACATATAAAACACAAAAATTACCACAATTTTTATTTTCTCATAAAAATATGCATGACTTCGTAAGTCAGATCACAACATTTTTTTCATTCGATCCAGAAAATTATTCATCTTGGTTTTCATAGACATACATCTCACAAACAATTTCTAAGCGAAATATTTTGGTAAACAATGAAAATTACTTCAGATGAATGAATGTACTTTGAAAAAACGTTCATTTGCATTATATTCATGAATATTCATCGAGACTGCTTCAATCTACTGTTGATTTTCCACACATTGTTCCAGAGTAAACTGAAATATTCTTCTTTCTCTTAAGTAACGATTCAAAATGATATCCAGATTCCGCAACAAAGTTTTCTTTATGAGATACAAATAAAAAACACGTAGCCTGGTATAACAGTTTGCTTTTATTTTCAAAGTAAAACTTCAGAAATTTGTTATTGCGGTATATAGAGATATTTGATTCATAATTTACTGCTAAATCTTATAAGAAGTAACATGAAATTGAAAAATACAGAGTCCGTTCTCAGATTTTGTTGCAATTTCCAATATATAACTTTGAAGGTTCAATGAATCATTCAATATTACTGAAATGTTGAGGAGGAAATTGGTAGTTTTTATTCGATGAAATGAATAGTTATTCCTGATTTTTTCCTATAAGTAATTTTTATTTGTTGGTGTCCAAATATTTTTTCAGAAAGGTGAAATAGAGGTAATCCCAATGGCTAATAGAATGCATTTCTGTTGATTTAGACACTCTGCCAAAACATGCAGTCAATATTAAATGACGGGAAAAAGTTATTCAAGAATAAATGAGAAATATCAAGGTCAGCAACAAACCAAAAAAGAATATTTTAAATATATGATGAAATTGGCCGATACATGATGAAAATTCGTTCATTAGAAATATTCGAGAAGTACAAAGAAAATTCGAAAAGGCATACAGAATGGAAGTTGTTCATCACAAACCATTTTCATTTGAATCTATATGTTATGTAAACTCAATATAGGCATCAATTTTGAAAGAAAATAAAAATGATTGAGAAAAGTAATGACACTTTTGGAAAAATATTATTCGAAACAAAGTGATAAACATATACATATTAGTATTAGAATTGACTTCATCATTGCAAAATATCTGATTATGAAATCATTATTCTAGGATATCAAAAGAATTGAAAGCAGTGAAAAAACGGGGATTGGAATGATGTGGTTTTGAAAATGAAGTGAGAAAATGTGCATGCTAAGACTCATGTATGTTCGGCAAATTTGATTGACTAGAATACAAGGTTTCAATAATGGAACTTTTTTTAATTTTTTTATGTTAATTTTTGCAGTTATAAGAAAGAAGAATTGAAAATTATAGTGATGACTATTTTATATCAGCAACTATAACGAAAATTTCACGGAATGTAATGAATAATATTCAGGTGATATATGCCTGATTAGATGTATTCAATTTCGTAAATCTGATTCGGAGTTCAGAGTAGAAACAGAAAGAAAAACAAAAATGACGATCATAGACTTGAGGTTGCTAAGGGAAAGTAGTCTAGTATCGACAAGAATACAAAAAAACAGGAATTCTGCTTTTCCGTCAACCAGATTAACGTTTCGTTTATATATGATGGAATTGGCCGATACTTGATGAAAATCAATAACTAACGTATTCAAAAAACACTTCATCGTGCGGGCGTAAAGACACGGGCGTAAAGACATGCCCGAAGAAGCCATTGTCTGGCGAAACACGTGTCGCGTTCTTGTGAAACTGTTTATTATTTTTACTACGTTTCTGATTTGAGTTTTTTCAATATAATTCCTTACAATAAATGGCTCTCACATTTTTTTGAATGTAGCCATTATATTCGTAAAAACTGGATACTTGATATTTACTGGCACTGAGAATAATGTAGTTCAGATACATTGCTACTGAGTGTAAGTGCAATATCGATACAATTTGTAAAGTTTCTTTTTCATCAGTATGCTTGAATTAAAATTTTTTTGCAGTTTTCTAGTTGTCAAGAAATACACCTGTGATTCGTTTAAAAAGGTGCAGAAAACCACTTCAATTCTATTTTCAGATGGAAATTGGTGGAAAACTGTCTTTGTTTTTTAAATTAGTGTTTCGAAAAATTCATATGATTATTGCTGTACCTATAGCACATATTCAATGAATAATTCCAGAAGTGAAAACCGTTACATTCAGAGTTCCTAATGAACAGAGTTGTTTTGATCTGCCTTAGATATCAGCGGTATTACTTGACTGGTTATGAATGCATAGTTCAGATTCCCCGGTTTTCAACGAAATCAGTTCATATAAAAAATCACGTGGTCTTAATGACTTCAATCGATGAGTAAGATCCACATCATATTGGAATGATGTTCTTCAATAATGAAGAATAATGTCATGTTATCAGGCAAGATGATCATCTAGGTGTATGTATGTCATTAAATTGCAGAAGGAAGGAAAACGTTGCGACTACAAAACTTTGAAAAGATGAGAAATATCCATCGTGTTGAAAACCTATATTGATTTCTTCGAAATAGGTACATATTAACATGGAGGACTGAATATTTCCTACAGTTTTGTGGGTATATGAGTTTTTCCCCATCAGATTTTGGGGGTTAATGAAATCAAAAAAATAGTAAGAAATAGATGAATTTCTCAATACCAAAATCTGAGATTCTTTTGAAAATTACATCTACATATTGGTTGTTGATATATTGGAAAAAATATTGTTGTGGTCGCGGCAGGTTGGTAAGCCGCCCATGGACCATGAAACACCTGCCGTGTGGTGAAAAGCCGCAATGAATCACTGCTAATGCATTCAGGGAACACTGACTAGAAATTGGAATGAATTTATGGAACTCTAAATGGGGCTGAGTTTGGTCCTCTGGCTGAGCCCTCACAGTCCCCAAAAGAACTGATATCTAATTCAGTTTTGAGCAGTTTTGCTTTGAATTCGTTATCCTACCAGTCCAATGAAAGGGTGAATCATCGTATCCGTGTTTACTCAGAAGAAGATAGTAGTGGCAAACGTAGTTGCAACAATAAATCGGTGATACATTCTTCAGTCAAAACTCTTGGGTTCAATGGGTTAAAAAATCTTGGAAACACCTGTTTCATGAACAGTATAATCCAATGTTTATCAAACATGGGATGGTTGCTGGAATACCTAAAAGAGGATACATACATGGACGATATCAATACTAGTATTTCTAGTATTGGTTACTATTGGTTATAGTTGGAGTATATATGAGTACGGTTTATATTTGAAATTTATTTATGCATGAATAATTCACTGTTTATATATATTGAAATTATAAATCAATTAGTATGTTCAAATTTGAAAACTTTTATGGTTGTATGAAGAGAAGCATCAAGAAAAATGTATAACAATTATGAATCATGAATGTATACGAATATATATCATACTCTATTGAATATTTGAATGTTTATACACCACGGAGGAAAATATCGGGAAATTATCAAGAACATTGTTTTCCTGGATACTATACAAGAACATACACAATCAATCATACATATCAATATTGAGACAATTGTACGAACATCAAGAAATTTCACAATCAATTTCGATAGTTGTTACACTTTTGTCTCGACTCTCGTGAAGCCTTTGTTCTCAAATACTTTCATTCATCTCAGGTATGCTCATTATGATTTGTTCTTTTTTTCAAAATGAAAAATGAATTTATCGAAAATACATTATGAGATTCAATATTTTCAGAAAATTCGATACTACTAAATATGAAATCGATTTTTTCATGTAAATTATTAGGAAAACTCGAATACAAAAACGTTTTTCGTTCAATAATTCAGAAAATCGATCCTACGCGATGTGTTCACGAAAAAAATTTCGTCTTTTCACACTCTCATCACACTTTGTAACAGTTTCAAGGTAGATCAACTTTATATTTTTCTTCATCTTCCTTGGGTCGAACGTAAACAGGATATGATCTCTTGTGAAGGTTCGAATCCGGAGATTCCGTTGTACTGGCTGTTTTAGTTTTAGAGAATCTTCTGATGGCATAATCCCGTAAACTCCGGAAAACGGGTCGGGAACTCTGAACGAGATTGTTTACTGCAGTCAAAGTCTGTATAGGGATCTGAAAATCAAAGGCGGATTTCAGTTATATAGTACATCTCACTTAATTAGGTGGAATGTGAATGAAAACATGTTATGACCCATGACATGACATTTCTGTCAGGAATTGAATTGGTTGAAAACGTATGTCAACATGTACCAGGTATGTGATAATGTAAGATGATCGTTATGATAACATGACATAAAATAATGAAAATCAAAATCAACAAGTTAGCAGACATTTTGTGGCCATTCAAATTTGACAGGAAGATCTTGACAGAACTTTCTGTTCTGACCACCACAGTGTTGCCGGTTAGATCTCATAGAATTATATTGAAAATGCCATCACAGAAAGTGGAAGTAAGGGATTTGAATCCATGCATTGTTGAATATCATTATATTTTTAATTGAATAAAGGAGATATTTATGAATGGTGCTCAGGCTTTCAACATCTGTCCTGAGTTTGAGAGAATTTCAATCTTAACAAATATGAAAAATTCTTGAAGAAGTTTTTTCTGAGGGTTACTTTCTGAATTTAAGACTCGAACATGATCAAAGAGGAAAGCATGATCTGTATTGCGTGTCTTGCGATTGTTAACACATCGCCTTTGAAAATGTCCACCGAAGCAGTAGTTGAAATGTCAGGTAGGTATACCAGAACAAGGAAAAGAATGAACCACATTAAAAAATTCATCCTTTTTTCTCTCAATTTCTGAAAAAATAATAGTATTCAACTAATTCCTGGAAGCTAGTTTTGAATGATCAAATTGGCTGAAGATTTCTTCAAGATCGAATGAGAGACTATCTGAGGGTAGATGAAATAATCAAAAATTGAATATTAGTTGTGGGGTTTGAGGATAACTTTTTTGAATACTATTAAAATTGGATATTATTGAAATTTCATTTTTAAGGTGAATACAATCATCATTTTCGAAACCTAATCTGATAGATAACCCGTTGAAGAGTGATTTGTAAACGAGTTTTAAAACAATTCTTCAAGTTTTTTCAATTTTGTACAGGGAGCTGCTACGAATTGTGCACACAACTCGATTTTTCATTATCAAAATAAGGTGTCCTTTCACCTATAAGAAATCTGAAATAGAAAACACTCCTATTGAAATCATCTTTCCCAAAAGTGGACTATATCAGCTCATCATGGTGTTCGAAAATCTTCAAAATTCCAGTAACCCATCAACGCCCAAAGTTGCGTTAACGCAACATTTCAGAAATGTATTTTTTTGAAAATTTCCTGCGGGGCTAAGTCTAAAATTTGCTTATCATCTGGTCAACAAATCTGTACTCGAACTTTATCGTATGAAAGATTACAAAAGTTCACAAGAACTTGCTGATGGTTAATATTTATTCTGTTCAAAATCAGGCTCCACAGGTTACCTTATCTGAAGGGTCTACAAATAATTCTCGTTTAACGCAAAAATTATAGTAAGTATAGAAATACATTGATTATATCTCATTGAATGATTGTATAACCATCACACTCACATCGTGCATTGGAATGTAATGTTGCACTTACGCAACTTTGGGAATAGGCGGAGTATCATACACAATGACAGGAGGGCATATGTCCAGTGACTGACGACCAGTGTCTAGTATTACTACGCATTGTTTGTGTATTTGTGTTCATTTTGATGCCTGCCGTGAAAAAAATATCATGATACGTTCAAAAACCAGTAGTTGACTGAGAGTATGTCGATTTCAGAGGAGTACCTATCCATAAATTTGTTATTAAAAAACGCTATCTTTTCAGCCATATCTTGGGAGAATCACCATTCATTGTCAGCCGAAGAGCTCTTTGCATTGATATTAGGAAACGAGGATCTGCAAAACGCTGAAAGTATCGATGCCGTTTATATACTACCACCCGTTGATGAAGTTACAGATGAAGAGAATATCAATGAGGACGAAATACTAGAAGTCGAAAGTGCACTAATAGATGGTGCTGAAACCTATGAAATCAATGCAGATACCCCAGATTAAGGCTCTGATGTAACTGAGAACATTCCCAGCCCCTCAGATTCCAAAAGGCCGAAATCAGCAAAGTCCAAGGGTACTTGAAGCAAATTGAACCAGAATATGCCAAAGTGGAAACGAAGAAAGCCTATCCAGGATAATGAGCAAGCTGAGTTGGTGAAACTAGTGAAGGCTTTAGAATGCAAATCCCCATTTGAGGTATTTTCTATGTACTTCACCGAAGAAGTTTAAGAACAGATTGTCACATTTTCAAAGAAGTATGCCAATGATCACAATATATATGATTCTCACTTGAATTCAGAGAGCCTCAACAGATTTGTCGGTTACCACTGTCTCACAACTACTAGGCCTTATTGGTCAAAATATGAAGACAAACGTATGCCATTATTTGAAAACTGCATGAGTAGGTAAAGGTTCGAATATATAAAACAAAACCTACACTAATCTGACAACAAACAGTTAGATCAAAATGAAAAGACTTTATTGGATGTCATGAATGGGAAATGTATGCAATTTGTTGTATTTTCATACAATCTTTAAATTGATGATGAGATGGTTCCTTTCTTGGCGGACACTTCTGTGAAATTATTATTATCAGTTGGAGATTCTTTCAGTGGTTTCGAATTCATCTAATCACTGTATTTTTTTCGAGTACTTCTTTTCGTCCTAGACAATTTTTCGCTTGCTGAGGAAAAATGATTTCTCTGCTACTAGTACAATACGTGAAAATCGTACTAGAAATTAGAAGTAGTGAAAAATATAAAAAGAATGTCCGAGGCTCGTATGACCATTCTCTTGACGAAAAGCACGAAATATTCCTAGTTACATGGAACGATAATGTTGTGGTTACTGTTGCTACCAATAATAGTACAGTTGATTCTCTTCGTATCGGTGGAAAGATAGAAAAGTAGAAAAGAACAGAAAATAGTTAGTATTACTCAACCGAAAGTGATATCTAAGTATGTGTGATTGATTACTTGTTTACTTTATGGTAATTCATGATTACTCAAATGAGATGAATAAAAACACTTTTGTCTAAATACCACTGGTACAAGTACAATCAACATATGGGTGGTATCGATCTCCACGATGATGGCATTGCCAACTACAGGATAAGCATAAGAGGAAAGAAATGATGGTGGCCTCTATTTATAAACCCCATCGACAGCACTATAGTGAATGCTTTGAAAGTGTATAATTTGGTAAATGAAAACCATCAAACACAATTGAAATTCAAGTCGTAGGTTGCTCTCACGCTCATAAAATACAAATTATTTTAATCTGGACGAGCATCACAATAACATCCCAGGACCTTTTGCAAACTACGGCCCACCATCCAGAAATGAACTGCCCTCTGAAATACGATACAGCAATATTGGTCATGTCACAGTTGGAGATAAGAATGCACGGAAAAGACGATGCAGTCATTAGCAACACAATATACCTTTGCAAAATCTGCGAAGTTCAAGTCCATCCACACTGCTTTGAAGAAGTTCACAACCGTTCGTTGCAAAATTGATGTCCGCTAATCCCAAAGTTGAGTTATCGCAACATTTCATTTCTGAGATTATACCAAACAATGTTTGCACTTCTCTGTGTTTCATTCTGTTTGAATGTATTTTGAGTCAAAATGAAGGCGTAGGTACTATTTGAAAATGATAATTATTTCGGTGCTTGGAAATTATTGGAGTATTGCCATATTGCGTTATGCTAATGATTATGTCGTCAACGTATATCTTCAATGAAGCAATTTGACCAGATTAATTACTATGGATCTTCATCAAGTAACGACCGAATCAATCAGAAGATCAATTACTACTGCAAGACTCTGCCAGATCGTCCACCACATATTGTGTTGGTATTAGAGAAACTGGGCTGCCCATTGGCAGGAGGTTTCTTTATGATTTTTTTTTGGAAAATGAGTCCAATAACGATTCTACCACTTGGGTGAATTGTCCAAAAGTTAATTTGCAACACTTCGGTATGATATAACCTGGATATTATTGAAACGCCTCATGCGAATTATGAAATGGAAATGAGTCTTTGACAAAGAAGTTATTCTCATTGTTGTATGTTATGGGTAGGCTATGTGTGAATAATCACGCAGCCCAAAAACGGAAATCTAAAATTTCATCTAAAATGATGAAAACAGCGGGTAGGTATTCGACATGGATTCAAATGGATTATTGTGAGATCATTCGCGAACAAAGGTCCAGGTTTTGATAATAATTTACTCCAATTCCTGTCGACCACCATATGCTGGTTTCATCATTCAGAATTGAGTTGTCAATTTGATATATATTTGAAAAAAATATACAACTTAGCTCACTACCTCTGACAAAGGATGCAGCAAAGTGTGAGAGCAACAATGGATAACTTATGGCCTCCGGAAGAATGGGGTTGGAAAAAAATAACTGTTGAAAGTAGTGACAATCACGCAACTCATTTTCTGAATTTTTTTCAAGTGCATGTTTTTTTTTTTAAATCATGGATTGGAGTATATTTGTATATCTATAATTTCTCTCCGATTATTGTACATATATTTGAAAACAAGTCACATTGAACTCAAATCAGTCTTCGCATCAAGAAGTTTTCATTTTTATTAATGAAAAATTAAAGACAAACATCAAAATCGGTGCTGTTTCTCAAGACCTTTTCTCAAATCTTTTTTAAGACTATCAACCTACATTGCCCATGAGGAAAATTTATTGTCTCTCCATATACAGAGTGGGCCAAATTTGTTCGGAATTACACGTTAAAAGTTAAGACCTCGTTAATCCATAGCTCGCACAAGTTTCGACTTCTGAGGGTTGTCGTTCGTAGGGGTGCGACAGCTAGTTAACGGAAAAACAGTTTTTAAAACAGATTTTTAAAACACCGGTTTTTGAACTAGGTAGAAGGAAACTAATGACTGTTTCTGGGGTCAAATTTTATGGTAAACTTAATGGTGAAAATCGCATATCGATATGTATCATCGTTCCTTAGCTACATCATGTTTTTCGAAAAATGTGCATTTTTGAAAAGTTGCTGTTATTTTTTCCTGTCAGAAATTTCTTGTTTCTAAGAAAAGATTTCCAGATCACTTTTTACGTAGAATTAAATGCTCTGAAAAATGTATTTTTCCAAATAAGATATTGATAGTTATTAATGGATACATACATATAAGAAAATGAATATGTAATTCCAATATTTTCATACTATTCACAATAGTAGTGGAGGAAATATTTTCGAATCATCGCTTCAAAACTGATAATGATGTTACCTGGAGGTAATTGAAATGCCTTATTTGAATTATGGAACTGAAATGAGTCTTCGACATAGAATCATCATTAGTGTATGCTACAGATGAAATATTTATGATCAATTGTGCAGCCTAAATGGGGGGAACTGAACATTTGATCTAAAATGATGGAAACAATTGCTGTTACTTTTTTCCTGTCAGAAATTTCTTGTTTCTATGAAAACATATCCAAAGCACTTTTTACGTAGAATTAAATTATCTGAAAAACTTATTTCTCCAAATGAGATATCGATAATTATTAACTTATTTCAATAGAGTCTAAAATGACATTTTCAAAAATGTAGCACATTTGATGTTTTACTAGAATCATCTTTGAAATACAGAACTTTTAGGTTTTGATATGTGGACTTTGAAACGTACACTTTGATCAAGTTGGCTTTGGATGACGGGGTGATAAAATTTTTGACAGGAAAAAAGCTATAGAAACTTTTCGAAAATACACCTTTTCGAAAAACATGCTGTTACTCAGAAACGATGATAGATATCGGTTTGCGGTTTTCACCATTGAGTTTGTCATAAAATGTTAACCCCAGGCATAGCCTGGCATAGGCATAGCCATCAGTTTTCATCTATCTCGTTTGAAAACAGGAGTTTCCCTTTGAAAAGTGTTCAGTTTGGCTCACTCAGTACATCGTTTACTATTCAGAGACTAATTGAAAAGGAATAAAGAAATGACGCAGAATTATTTGATGAGCAGATGAATGATATCGATGGGATGATTTCGAAAGGAAATAGATGAATTGCCAATGATGACTGAAGCACAAAAACTTACGTTTGCCTACATTATTGCTGTGATCACCTTTCTTCGACCTATCCTGACGTAAATTTCACTCTGCTCGAATTGACCCTGCATGTCGAAAATAAAAGTAATTTTTATAGCAAATGAATTGACAGTAGTTTCAAAAACGGTAATCTTGGGTAGTCCAGTATTTTTGAGTGGTACTTAAATAACATTCACAAAGGTGAATGGTATTTTGTCAGTACCAAGTTCCATCCAACACTTTCGCATACCAGTATTCATAAAACGACAACTATAATAGTAGGTATATTGTTATTTTGTTAAAAACCTCTGGTTTCACTAAACTTTTTTTTTCAAAATGTGAAGAAACACTCCCATTGAAACTGTTAAATATATTCGGGCAAAAATCAAAATTTCAGGTACTATCTATTTATAATCAAAATATTGTTAGAGATTTGGAATTTCATCATCTGAAAAAGTGATTTTAAATCTGAATAGTGAATGAATTCATTATTGGAAATCCTCCAACCAAAATATTTTGGTGGATTAGTTGGAAAAGATGTAAATTACATTGAAAATATGAGAAAGAGTGAACAATCAGTAAATATTTCACTCGCATATGGAGCATGAATATCAGCAACCTTGGATATTGCTTGTATTTTTGCAGTCTACTGTGTCATTGACATCTCCAAATGGAGTTTGAGAGATGCCCATTGAACACAGATGAAAGTAGAATGAATAGTTTTTAGAAAGTTAGTTAATTTTTTTCTTGCCCAACGAGGTGGATGTGAAAGTACCAATGTTCCTCATATCTCTGAAGATGATAAAACAAGAAAAGACTAGTCAGATAGGAAGAACAAGGCAGTTGGTGAAAGGAACTCAGATGTCTCTCAATTTCCGAAGTAAATCAATTTGCCCCCATTATATGCAAATTCAGGGTGAATGAATCAGCTTTTGGAAGTCGTTCAACATGAGGTGTCCCATTCTAATCACACAGGGCATATAGATTTAATGAACCGAAGGTTAAAATTCACGGCAGCTCATGAGAGAGCCTTACTTCAACTTCATGAATTTATGAATGTTCTTCAATCAAATACTTGACATTCGTTCGTCATGGATGTCTAATATTTTTCAAGTAGCAAGATAGATGACAACTTTCAAGTGCTAGTAAACAACATATTGAGTATGAAAGTACAGTACTTATATAGCAACTTGAATTGTGTTCTTGACATTCTAGGTGATTTCAGTGAAAAAGGGTGAATTTTTTCATCAATAATATGAAGGACCGCAACCAGGGAAGGTGCTTCTTCAATATAATGACTGATTACCACAGAGATGAGTTATGAGTTATTGCACACGGAGAGGCCCCTCATAACATGATTTTTTTCAATCCCTTGTATATCAATATACTCAATAATCATGATTCACCATTATTTTGCATCAAAATCAGTTTACTGAAGTATGGTATTTATGGTAATGTCTCTTCTACTGTTATAAATTCATGTTAACACATAATCACTCATTTTAAAAGCAATGTTGCATAATCAACTCTGGAATGGTAGTTGATTCAACAGAACTGGTACCATTTCAGGATTCTGCAAGTTAAAATAATGGGAGAATAGGTCTGAATTCCTCAATACCAAAACATATATTGCCCCGTAATAATATGATCATATGATAATATGACGATGTTATTGACATTTTCATTTATTTACTATTATTTCTCTTTTTCTATTATTTTCGTAGGAATGACTGACATTTAATTTATTGTTTGTAACATTCATCTCTATATTTCTGTTTCATTTCACAGTAATTTGTTGTCACACAAATTGGCATTCTTGTAGTTTTACATTTCAGTCAATATTTCTCAATGATTTATCGAAATATTCCTGTCCTAATATTTTTATCAATCCAGTTATTAATATTCTCTCAGATATTGAATCTTGTAACACTTTCTCGAAAAAATGAAATCAGTATTCCTAACAGTTAACCAGGAACTTTGTCAAACACATTCAAATATGAACAGTTCTGAAGAAATATTGGAACAATCACATGGAATATCTAGTGACGATTCAGATTTGGTTTTCTGAAAGTGGTGGATGGACGAAAGTTGTGCGTTTTCCACTGGATACTTACATTGAATAAGCTATCGATTACTTTCGATCTCTCTGCTGTCTCTCGTTTTGCCCTTGCATCGCTTCCCACGGTTATTTGAAAATTGTATTCCTTTCCCTATAACAAACAAATTTAGGTTATTCGAAATGGATATAAGCATCACAGTTGTTGTTTTATAATACGATTTGTCTTTAAACTCAAATTGGGCCTCAGTTTCGACGATTACATCTTCATCGACACTGAATTTATTTCTGGCGAGATCAGGAGTAAATCAATGGAGGCCAGATCTGAAATATACGGTGGATGCGAAAGCAATTCGAAACACCAATTCAGGCAGTTTCGCCATCTTTTCCATTGATTTGACACGGTATATTGTCTTGAGGTCGTACTTTCTTTTTTTTCAAATGGGGCCATTTTTTCGCGATTTCGTCCCTCAACGCTATATTGTAATAGCTGATGACGATTTTTTCTTTTCGGAATAGGAGATGAATATTATGCCATGTGCATCCAGAACTACTGATACCAAAACCTTGCCAGTGGACTGTTGCATCTTTGCACGCACTTAAGTGGGTTCACCACGTGCAGTCCACTCAGATCGTTTTGATTCTGGTGTGAAATGGTGGAGCCATGTTTCATCAATTTTCACATCGACGCATGATTCGAGTTTTCATCTTGGAACAGATTCAAATACTGATTGTGAGTTCAACTTTGAACACAGTTTTTGCATGCCCAAATATTCATGCACGATAGTCCCTACACATTCCATTAAATTCTTAGAGCCTCCTTTTCACGATCAACTTCACTTTGCAGTCATTCAAAATTATTTTGAGGACTCATTTATGTTCCCGTTAGTAACATCGTCTTTAAGACGTCCACTGCGTGCATCGTTCTCGCTGCTCATTTCACCTCGTGTAAATTAGCAAACACTTCTCAACAGTTGATTTTCCTAGTGCAGAGTTATAATGTTCATTAAGTCAAGTCTTGACTTCACCTCTATTTTTGTTTGCCAAAAAGCACTTTATCAATACACGAAATTATTTTTTATCCATTCTTTTGACTAACAAAAGGTGCTTCACTGCTTCTATTCCAGAAACTAATAACCCGATAGCTGTCAACTTTGTACACCTGTCTTTTGGAGATCAAGGTTGACTAAGAAGCCTATGGATTTGATACTGTGTTTTAGCGTATGAAGTTTTCAGCCCACATATACATATACTCAACCCAACTCTTCAACCAACCCTAGTGATTATAGAATAATGTTACTATAGAATGAACCCCAAATTACCTTTGTTTACTATTTAGCTCAGTTTTAATTTCACCCGTATACATATCTACTGACACAGATTTTTCAAAAGTGAAATACATTTCTCAACTAATTTTAGTGAATGCAAAATATTGGACAGCTATGGAATAGACCCATATGTTTTGCTCTACTAGTATTTGTGGGTTTCATTTTATTGGATATCATAGGTATTCAGAGTCTCCCGTGGGTTGAGCTATCTATCGGGCGCGTCCCCAGGTGGTGGATAGGGCAACGGCCAGAGGCTGTGGACCCTGTCCGGGTAGTCAATATGGCCTCACGGACAGGATCGCCGGACTCCTGGTCAGTGGCAGGAATAAGTAGGGTGGGGGAACCTGAAACTTCCCAAAAGCCACTGCAAAACACGCCACCGTGTACCAGCATTCCCAAGCTAAGGTGTAAGGAATCGTGGCTACAGCTGAATGGCCGCAGGGTGATATGCAGTTACGAACGATCCCCTGGGGGAACCAGGCGAAACCTCATTTTAATTAGCCTTCCTCTGGTGATGCGGGTCCCTGCCAGAGGTGGGAAAACACATGGATACAATGAATAAAAAACAACCAATCCCGAGGTTGGACAAAAATGCTCACCTCAATTTATGGCGGGGGCTGGGGATGAACAGGAATGTTCACCCCAATCTACCGCTCAGAGTGAGGCTGGACATAGCAGACCACCTCGTGATGCAACACAAAGGCCAAGGCGCAAGCGCATTTGCGGCGCCAAAGTCAAAAGGAAAGAGAGAGCGAAGAAGGCAAGAATAGCAGCAACTATGAGTGCATCCTCCTCCTCTTTTACTCCATCTCCAACAACAAGGGCACCTCTTACGGTGGGCGCCAAGAGATCCGTTTCGAAAAAAGGCGAGGAACCGGCTGCCTTTGCAGGAAAGCGCCCTCACGTGAGCACCTTTATTCGGGGAACCCCAAGAAGGTTGAAGAAGCCGCGCAGCAACAGTAATGTCGCTGCAGCTTTCAAAACTTTCGTGGAGGTCGCCTCGAGACACCTCAAGGTTAGGAGAGGGTGCTGGGTCGTCTGAAGGCGCAGCACTCTGGCCTGCCAGTAGCAAGATGGTGCACTTTCCACCATGAGATGAAGATTAATCCACAAGGACACCTCTCCCTCTTCGAAGTCGATGAGGATAAGCTACGCGTTTACCTCACTGACTATTACAGTAATAAGAAAAGAAGCAGAGGGTACCTCTGGAGACCCTAGGTCCTTGGATGTCGAGCCACCTGAAGTGGATATTGACTCCAAGGCCATCATGGGTCCCGACAAGAAATTCAAAGCATTTGAACAGATGACAGTCGATGATCTGACGGAGGAGCACCCAAAAACAGCAAAGCCGCTTCCCCCCTAGCAGGGGAGCAGATGGACCTCTAAAAGTAACTTTAAATCCAATAACTGTCTCATGGGCAAGGACGTTGGAAAAAAGATAAAAATGATACAATGGAGCCTCCAACACAAAAAGGCGGCAACGGCAATACTATGTCGCCACCTTGATGTATGGGGGGAGGCAATAGCTTTGATCTAGCAGCTCTAGATAATTAACACCGAAGTTACTGGTTTCAGTAGCCTAACTGATCAAATTTTCAGCTCACCAAGCAATCAGCAACCTAGGACGGTTGTCTACGTTCCTAGGAATTACAGAGCCTCTCCGATGACACAATTCAGCACCTCAGACTTCATTGCGGTTGAAGTGGAATGTCCAGATGGAAAAGGCAATTATACGGTGTTGATACTCGCATCGGTGCGAGTATGCAGATATCTTACCACCGACCGGAGAAATGGAGGTACAAGTGGATAACTGCCTCAACCAGAGAGTGGAGCTTATTTTGGATTGCGACTCAAACTCTCACCACTTGAGCTGGGGCAGCAAGAATATCAACGCTTGAGGTAAGTCCCTATATGAATATATAATTAAGAAAAATCTAACAATCTTGAACAGAGGCACGGAGTCGACATTTATTATTGCCCGTAGCCAAACATGAATAGATATCACGCTAACGACAGCCACAATATCAAACAAAATCCAGGACTGGCAAGTCTCGGACCATATTTCTATGTCAGACCACCCTTTGTTGACCTATACGGTAAGCTAGGATCTCAGAATCACTGTAAAATCCAGTGACCCGGAGAGGGCGGATGTAGCTCTCTACAATCGACTGACAATAATGATGAACTGGGAAGGTATACCGTATCTATCCAAAACAAAATAGATACTGCCTACAAAGAATCCTGTCCGATGAGGATGGTTCAAACAGATGGTACAACCAACACATAGTGGTGCCCTGAACTGGAACACCTCAGGAAGACAGCGATAACGACCTTCAACAAGGCAAAACCTACAAGACTCGAAGAGTACTGGGGTATATAGGAAGCCAACTTCAGGGAATCCAAAAATGTCTGCAGACGTAAAAAAGAGAAGCCTGGGGAGCCTTTTGTGAAGCAGTCGAAGACTTTCCACTAGCTTCTATGCTACAGAAGGCACTCTCAAATGACCACCATGAGGGTATCGGCATACTGACGAGAGAAAATGGTGACAAAGCCACCAACCTCCAGGAGAGTGCTGAGATTCTTATGGAAACTCACTACCCAGGTTCTGTCTTTCCTAGAACGACGAACTGGATGGAAGTGCCAACAACACCCTAACAATTCGACTGGCAATCTGCTAGTGCAGTGATTAACGAGGACACGATAAAATGGGCCTAACGGTATAAGACTAGCCCTACTTCAATGGGGAATGGATATTCTCATGCCGCACCTGGTTAGAATATTCAGAGCCACCCTAGCTCATAGGTATATTCCCAGTAAGTGGAGAGAAGTACGAGTAGTATTTATACTTGAACCAGGTAGGATGGACTAAACCTTACCAAAAGCATTCTGGGCCTGACAGTGGGAGAATGGATACTCAAGATGCTCTCTAGTAGAACAATAAATATCAATGGCATCACAGTGAAAGGACTGGTCATGAAGGGATGTCCACAGGGAGGGGTCTCATCACCCTTTCTCTGGAACATAGTTCTGGATACCATCACCTCAGCAATCACAACACAACAAAGTTTTTGTTTCGGGGTTGAAATTAGATGATTTTAATGTATTTCCACGTGTTAAAACCGAAAGTGACCATAATAATTATATATTAGCTCTTGTTTTCAAGATATAGTATCATTATATTATATATATGTATATTGAGTTTTCAACAAATGAAATATTTCATCACCAACAGTTGGTACACATGTTTGTTTACATAACACCCCTCTCATCAGCTGTTCTTAAGTAGTAAACATAACCTATGTGAGTTTGTCAATTGTACGCACGTGGTTGCTATTGAAATTATCGTGTGAAGTTGATTTTTAAATTAATTTAAGTGCTGATCTGAAATGCCTCGAAAGTGTGTGAATTCTGTCGATAGCTTTTGCTATATATGTGGTGAAATAACA